ARRARRWTTTCCMWTWWYYTTTATCAARYTGCTGTGTTTTCCCTCATTTTGTCACTTGACGAAGATAAGATATCAGATGAGCTTTTATAATATCACATTAAAATCCCCCAAGTGTCATGCAGTGCAGACGACTAAAGTCGGCAACGATTTCTACATTTCCTTGGATACACAGACACAATGCTGGRGAAAAAAAGCAATGATCAAATGAAGTAGATGGGCGTCCTGCCGTGCATTGAGGCAAATGTTTAGAGTGTCTTCCTGTCATTGGTACTCAAGTTCACTTTGAATCCTTCACCATGACTCACCGACTTCAAAAACCGATTTTCAAGCTGTCAAGTTAAGCGCAGACACACGAAGAACTTGTGAATGCCTAAATGTAATACACAGCCACAGTGTACGACTGTTAAACGAATTGAAGATTTCATTGATAGCAGCGATTTACTGATGGCATTAACATGCTAAATAAGCGAATTTCTTCCGTTTTATTTCTTAGTTTTCTTTCTTAGTTTTCTTTCTTTTTATCCCTTTTGTACATTGCTAAGTGATTTTAAAAATCACTTGTGAAATAAGTGGTATTTCGAAGCTGAAAGCTTGAAAGCATTGAATAAACAGTGGATTATTTCTATATTGAATTATGGATCAAAAAAGTCAGATTCAAGGTGCACGTCCGATGACAATTATTGGACATTGGTTGTGTTAATATGATAAATTATACTCGCTGATATGCCTGTTATCAGTGGCAAAAACGTCAATAATTTTTCATAAGAATAACCTAGTGGTTTTCTTTCTATTGATTAAGTATTACCAAAACTGTATGATTTCTCTCCTATCTTTTTTTATGAATTGTATGCTTGAAAGATAGAAGCACTCGTAACAAATGAAAAAAATGCAAAAAGACGAAGAAAAAAAACGCACGATCGATTACAAAGAGTGAAATTATAAAAAAAGTTTTTTACCCTGAAAAGAAAAGACTTGAGTAGTCAATTGTCAGTCAATCATATACACAAGTCCATTTTGAATATAAAATAAAAGTTTTCATTGTTTTGACCGGAGGGGTTTTGGGAAAATAAGCGGACGTCGCTTAGCCTTTATCGTTTCGAGAATAATTACAATGTTTGTTTTAGTAGTAAAGWCTTACAATCTGAAAATCAAATCTGGGTATCTTATATCAGTCCATGTAGCTTTGTGCGTCATGTATCAGTGGTGTTGGGGATTTTTACACGACCGGGCTCTAATTTAATTTTAATTTAATTTTCATCATATGATGTTAAAAAGTCGGCAAGTCCTCATTCATATGACGAGCTCAATCGATTGATGGTCAGGGCAATATTGTTGGACATTTATGTTCTAACAAGTTATTTATATTGATTGCAAGATAGATTTGCCTTTAATTAAACAGTTAACATCAAAGAAAGCCATTTTGATTACACTCTTCATCGGATGCTGCGCCGAGTAGTTTTCCGTAATTTTTATTCAGCTGTCGTTTTAGCAAATAGAGTGCCAAACGAAATGATGTGCACTTGTGGGCCTAAAGCAACAAATTTCAATTCTATATCAGATAAGAGCTTCCCTTAGGCACACAAAAGCTGTTTAATTTTTTTTTCAATACACCATTAACAAGCCATCAAACATCAAAGTTGCTAAGTTTGGTAATAAAAACTGAGACATCAAGCTAAACTTACTCGCTCCCATATTTTCTTCTATTTATTATTTCACTTTTTTTTTCAACAGGCTAAATATTTATTTCTCTTGATCAAAAGGACATCTCTTGCATTGATTTTAAAAGTCCCCTTTATATGAAAAGCTCTATTAAATATTGCTTGAAAAGTGTCAATTATCCTGTAATACATTCTTGTTTTAATTTAAACTTGGTGGGGCGTCATGGCAACTATTCGTAAGGCACCTATTGCGTACGTAATGACCAATAGAGGACCTGTCACTTCGTTCTATCAAGCACATTGAAAGAGCGCAAAATCCATCCATTCCATTTACCGCTGAACATTTTAATTAAAACTACTTGTGTTATTTCAGAATAATGTTGTTTTGCAGTGTATAAATAAGCCGATCTTTAATGAATTTTGGGATAACCTGCCAAAAATAAACATTTAATGTGTCTTATTTGCTTATCCATTTCAAAGCCGAATTCACTACCAAATTGGTAAACAGTTTCGATAACAAGATTTCTCATATTTTTAGAATMTTTGCCTTAATCTCTGCCAATCATRTTCCATCGTCATAAACAACTGTTTAAGTTTGTCATTCCAGCGGAAATCGTTTGACATCACAAAAAAGGTCCTAACTGTCACGAAAAAATTATCACCAATTTGGATGAGTGCAAAAACCCCCGGAAGATTTATACATATGAACACAACTTGATGGGAATCAATGACGTCCATCCTGCTTTAACCAATAAMGAAAAYCTTACCTGACAACGACAGATTTCCAGATGTTCCTTCTGCAAACTTCCATTCTGCCTTCATATCTGTTCCTTGATAGACTAACACATTGCACTGGAATTGCTCGCCGATCTTGACGTACAATGAACAATCAATCTTCAAATGTTTCACCATTGMTGTAATTTTCACTTTACTTTGAAGTGTTTTCAAATCTWTAGCAAACGAATTTCTTGCTCTGATTGTTTTTGTACCCCACATTGTTGTCWTGTAGCTGAACTTTGAGTTTTCACTAGAAAACTCCGAGAAACCCGTTCCCTGACCGTCATCCACAGCAAATCCAGGACTTTCTGACGTACAATTCGTACATGATATTGTTAAGTTAGCTTTATTGAAAAGAATAAACGGTTTATCAGGCTGGTTAATACTAAAAACCCCTACCAATCCAGAAGAATTGTACACAGAATTTGCCATTTTTCCACCGCAAAACCTTTTCGCATCRGMAGGGCAAGAGATATTGCAGCCGCTAAGCTGTCCATGACGGCCAAAGGTATTTCCACATAAGCAACGATATCCATTTTGCAAAGCGGAGTACTTAAATGATAGAAATCCACATATGCCTACACATAGCCCAGGATAGAGCTCGCTTGAATTGTAGTTTCCAGCCGAGACCAGGAACTCTCTATCAGAAGGATTTTCAGAATAACAGCCGATATACAAAGAATCTAAAGATAGCAATTATTAAAGGTTAGAAAGGCATCAAGGATGACAAAATTAAACCAAATTGGTCAGGTGCTTTTATCTCGTTTATACACACATCCTGTATATTACATGCGAAGGAGTCATAACGATTATCGACAACAACATTAGGGTAATTAAAATACAGTCCAACTAAAGGAAGTGAATTTCGAACTGTATTCTGTATGGTATTGGCTTTGCACATAAACATCTCTTTTCAATACATTCATATCATCTTGGTATGTGTTGAAGCAAAACATATAATAAATAAAATAATACATTCGCGTGTAACCCAGGGAATTTAACATAACAGATAACAGTTTCGAATTGAGGTTGTCTGCATCGTTTAACTCCGTTCTCTAATCATCGGTGAGCAAAACTTGGCTTTCGCCAACTACATTATGAAATACGAAGATCTTACCAGAAAACAATTGCGATAGCTTACTATGTACCTCAAAACAACAGTTTAGTTAAAACAAACCAAGACTCATATAGTGACTTTGTTTTAGTTACATTTGAATTTTTGGAAGACACAGTAGGAGGAATGCCTTCCCAAGATGGCAGCAACTGTCATAAAAAACCCTGTAATAAATATAAATATCTCTAACATCGAAGCATTAAACTACCGATGTGAAAATCTGAAGAGGAGAAAAGACTTATATAGTATTTCGCTGCAATTTACTCCAATATTTATTTTCACATGCAACGAGAATAAAGATAATTATAAGAATTTCTGAATTTTTGAAATTATCTTGAACTACTAGAGACAGTAATTTGGTTTATATACTTTTTTTTCTTTCTTTAGCCCACCAGATGGTTTTTGGGAATTAAAACTCTTGAGGATGAACATTTGTAATGTATCAGATGCGTTATAGCGTGCGTTTTCATGGATTTTTGGTGCATGGTTGCTCAATTACTTACCGATCGAGCGACAAGGTGCAATGACCAAGCTCCAAGATGTCTTGATAATAAAGAACAGAAATACGAACGATATCCATCGCGAATCCATTATAACTGTCGTTTGCTTTAACTTAACTTGAAAGAAAACATCTTTTACTTTCCGAACAATCGTACGTCGATGTTTCCGATATCCTCAGCCACACTTTCCGTGAACAAAAGATTAAAATTATCCTTTTAAGATGTTTTTTTTTTTCCTGTCTTCAGTTTTAAACATCTGAGAAAACAAATTGACGACTAACTCGCAACCTGTTTCTATACTGRACTAGCAGCTTAGAGACGAATACAATTAGAAAGTCTGTTTAGTTATTACTTATTACTCTGCTCCGTTCGTACACCATCTGCAAGCTTCTATGTCAACAAGGGACGCGTATTGATTGGCTGACTCAACGCGCCTTGCATCGGCCTCGGTTTAATGGAAAGTTCAGTTATACAAAAAGAAAAACGAACAGCGAGCGATTTTTGTCTCCAGCGTTCATATCCTTTGTAAAATATACGTGGTGTTTTTCCCTGTGTTTCTCACAGTATCTTCATAAATCTTCACGACAATGAATTGTTGAAGTTCGGAAGCATTGAATCCGTTATCTATCTGCCACAAGCTGGTTAGTAGTTAGCGATTGGCTGATTTCATAAAGTTGATCGAGAGTTTACGAATCAATTCTTAAGCTTCACAATAAGCGAGTGTGATAAAATGCACTTATTTATTTGATGAYAAGAAATTTAAACGAGCGTACCGCTGAGCGCATTACAAGTGTTGTATATTGAAAGGAAGGTGYACTAATGGCTATGGTGGCAATTGTCGCCTTGACGCCAAAAATACGCTTAGATTCTCGATTGTTCCATAAAAGAGCATCGAAAGAGMAACACTGACGTTAGCAGAATATAAGAGGGATAAAATTTGGATAATATTGGACTCAGTTCAAGGACTTAACACATGCACGCACACACAAGCGCAAAAAAAACTAAACTAAACTAAACAAAAAACAAAAACAGAACGATGTCGAAGACTAAGACTATGGAAGTTAGATACAGATAAAATATTAGAGATAAAAACTATTCATTGGACAAAAGGATTGGAATCAATCAATCTATCTATCAATCAGTCACTCAGATAGTKCGCCGTCAATCACTYCGTCAGTGCGTCCGTCCTTCAGTTACCGAATCAATCAATRACCTAAATCAAATGGATGACTTTACGAATGAAAAAATTAAAAAATAAACAAAACAAAAAGGAATAGATGAATGTATGCAGCTTAAAAAAAATCCCAGTCAGTATTATCATCTAAATGGTACTTAAGATACTCAAGATGGTCTGTGACCTAAGAGACAGAAACGTCTTCTAAACCATGAATCGAAGTAAAAATACTAGACTGTTACATAAAAAAAATAAATTCTTAATATAAATCATGACAAGAAGAGCCATAAAAACGATAAACGGTGCGAATRRTGAGCAYCATGAAGAAACGAATTTTAATTCTTATTTTAATTTTAATTAAAAATAGAAACAGCGGAACATGAAAAGTATTAAAAACACCGATTATATAAAACCCATAGATTCTTCAAAAACAAATTAAAACTTATAGAATTAACTTTAACTGGCTTAACTAAATCTATGATCTGAATTTTAATCATATTTGAATTGCCTGACCTTAAATTCAATATTGATATCATTTAATTAAACGTCTACAAAAGAATCATAATTTTATTAGACAAAACTGCCGAAAAAAAACCAGAAATGTAAAAAAATAATATAATGATTGTGGAGAGTTAATTATCGAAGAATAAGATAAAGCCGATAAACCGCTTTTATCGAGGGACTTGGTATTAATGTTTGTTTCCATTTTTAATGATGAGGATTTTCCGCTGATTTCACTGTCAAAATAGATTGAAAACATCCCGGTTCCGGGCAAATCAGCCCACCTATTTAGTTACGATCCTTTTCCTATTTTACTTTACTAAAAAGACAAACTAATAAATTATAGGTGGTATATTTCGTGTCTCACTTCTGAAGCAGTCTAAAATTGTATTGTTAATAATAATTCTTCAGCTCAAAAGCCCATTTCAAAAGAAATCCTTATATAAATAAATAATACACTGACCAAACTGGAATACTGTATTTGAGGTTATTGTTTACCAACTTAATTAACTTGAGTGACGTTTAGCGATGATTTTGGATAACCAAGCAAAAACATTGTCGTTATGAATACTGCATATGACGACAACTGACAAGTGTTATCATGCCCTCTAATAGAAACGTCAAAGAATAAAGTGGRAAAAYAAATTTCATTTTGCACAAGCCGAGAAACTTAATCAAGYTCTAGTAAGCTGATTGGAGTTAAAATTGTTCGGCTTAAAACATATTGCTTCTATATTAAGTTCAAATATAAATTTCAAGCTCAGTAATTTTGAACATTTGCACATGTTATTAGTAAATCGAATGCATTTTGTCATGGGATTTGGTCTTTGTTTCCCTTTAAGCATAATATTCCAATGAACCCCTACCCCTAAAAAAAAATAGAAGTAACTTCAGTAATCCCCCTCCCCAAGAGATTCCTTTCTTTTTTTCTTTTTTTTTAAATCACGTTTTGAATCTGATTGGCGGCATTTGTTGTCAAGGTGAATTCTGCCTGCTTCAAAACTTTGACAGTGTTGGGGTCTGCGTAATTATATTCACGATGCAACATGACCGCGTTTTTTCAATACTACACTGATGAATAAAACATCAGTATTGTATGTGGACTCACTAGACAAACCTAATTGGGATGTCAGATCATTTAAAAGCTTAATGTAGCACTTGCAGTCTCGAAATGTGGAGTGTCACTTTTTAGCTTCGTATCATGAAGTTGAATGTCACCTGTAACATCGTTTCTTTTGCTAAATGTTCTTTCTTTACTACTCCGTTCTCCCTAAATTCAAAGTCTTACGTTGGTGGGCGCAACAGCGCCAAATTGTCGCCTGAAAAGTGCAAAACGAATCAAAAACGCCACAAGGTTCAGAGGCATACACTACAATGTTTCTAATAAGCTAATGACCTCGATATCAGCTTTGTCGGAGAAGTTTACGTTTCATGCCCGCCAGTATCCCTTAATTCGAGACAGACAAAGGAAAAAAGCGCCACCCTGTCGTGAATATCAGTAATAATTTTTTTGTCGTCTCCCGGAACCCCCGCTTGTATTTTAGACATCACACATACTTACTGTATGCTATTTGGGTTCTAATAGCCGCGTTTTTGGGAAAGGGAGGGTAGAACTAGCGTTCTGTTGAACTGTACGGCGCATAAATTCTTAATCTTTTTCTATACGATTGTAATTTGTGAACCTATCGTTGTCGTTGATATTGAAACGATGGGCCTACACGATATTTCCGAAGCCGACGACGAAGATATGAGGCGAAAAACGATGCTTCCACCACCATTAGCTTCTCTGTATGACATTGCCACTTGTCTCTCCCCTCCCCAAAGCCCTTCCCCCTCCTTCACCAAACACCACAATATTCTGATTATTATAAGTTGTGTACAACTTCTGTACAACTTGGAGCTCAGTACCTCTCAAAGCTGCATCACTTTCAAGTTGGGCTTCCTGTGTTTGGATGGAATTTCTGTGAACATGGGAAATGGGTTTAAAAATATCAAAGGTGCAGTAACCTTTACACATCATTTGCAGGTAAACAGAGATGTTTATCACATTCAGGGCATCAATATAACTATAAAAAAAAGTTCTGGTAAAAAGCAAATGGGCTTTGTATTTTGCCGAGATTTGATTGAAAGACTAAGGAATTAGTTTTAAGTTGAATGCTAAACAAAACAGCAATTTGATTGAAAACTCCACACAAGTCTGACCACAAGTGACCACAATAGCAAGTATGAGGTGAACTCATGTTATACTGGCCTTGCAGACACTTTCTTTTACCTTTTTCTCATGAGTGAAGTATTTGAGTGTCAGAAGTGTCAATAGTACTCTGTC